AAGATAAATCTTTGGTTTCACTTATTTCACCCCTTTTGCGCACTTAGTTAGTCGACAGTGGTCTTCTGTAAGGCACAGATATGATTTCGTGATCAGTATTACAAATTACCTCGTAAGAGAAGGTTGAGAGAGATTCAAATTTGAGATAAACTCAATAATGTGGAATAGACTATCAACTGGCTAGGTTGATATTGAGAGAGGAATGCAATATTCAACATTCACGAATAATAATTGTGAATTTGATAGTATCTAATGGCTTTCCCTTCTTTTTCAACTTTCCACTAAATTTTTCTAAAGAACAGACTTGAGATGTGGGACAGAACAATCCGGACTCATATCTGATTCATCCAACCTTCTCGTTGATCTTTACGTTTTTCAGAATAAAATGTGCGAAAACAAACGAGCTATTGCAATGATAGGAAACGGCACACTTCTTTCGTGAGACTAAAATATTTTCATCTTATCCTACATTTCCAGGTATCCGTCATATACGATTGATGACGATGGTCATTTTTTCATAATGTCACCCAAAGTTGTGCAACAAACTGATAGACAACCTCTAGCTCGAAGAACTCTAGCAGGTGATGACATTTGCCGAACTCCAATGTTTTTCATTGAATAAATTATTAGTTCTACTTATATTCAGATCTGGTCCCTAAAACCTTACACTACAGTCATCCCAAGGAAATTGCTCCACCAAACCCAGATCTACCACCACAAATAAGATATGAGGCATTGTTCATCAATAGAAGAGTTTATGGCATTGACAAATAGAAATTTGCTGAGATAGATTATTTATATAAATAGTTCTTTAGAATAAAGTATCGGCCTTTTCAAATGTCAAGAAAATTTTACCTTTCTACCGTTGTAAGTTAAAGCAGTAAACAATATTTACAAGGAATTTAAACCTTTAAGAAGTTTCTTTTTTTGAGTAAGTTAAGCATTCTTGTACTACTTTTAAAAAAACTCGACTCAGCATTAACAGGCATAAAGCAGAGATAAGAAGTTTATGCGTATTTTACAGTCGCTTCCTCTCCGAACTCATGAAATGCTGGTCGTTGATTTCTTTATGGGAGGCATCTTTAAATCAAGGAATTTAAGAAGGTCATAATTAGGGAGCGCAGTTTGAGAGTCTGGAAAGGAAGGTTTGAGGGAGCAAGGAGTAAATACGCAAACTTTATTCTTAACAAGATGAATTTAGTTTCATGGCTGAGAAAATACATACATTTTCCTCTGCTTATTTATTTACAAAATGTATTATCGAATCAGATTACGTTTCAATGTATAATTCACTACACAACTCTACCATAATTTAGGTATGCATTCAAGTTCTAGAACCATACATTTAACATGAAGAGAGTCGCCATAGATAATTAATGAAATTCTTCCTATATTGAAGTGCATGGTTCAAAGTGGTGCCAGAAAAAGCATGAAAAATCGGTCCTGATGAATTGTGGAACGAAATTAGCTGATCATAAGTGAAGAAATTGCTATTTTATACCAATACCAACTCTC